GGCTGATTTACCGTGACTCCTGCCGCTGTCAGCTGAAACCCATCAGACCCAGACTCTGGCTCTCTCAGCCATCTCCCTGTTTCCTCATGTGGCTGTCAGCTCTGGTCTGATTGCAGCTCCCTTTTAGACTAAATGAAAAGCACAGGAACAGCCTGCATTTTGTGTCTCATTTCCTACCTGAACAACCATTTGTGGGTAAGGCTGTGCTTTAAATGAAATGGTACTTATTGTTGTATTTTCTGCAGGCTACAACTTCACCTCAGATAGCGTGGCAAGCACTGAGAAAAAGATCCTAACCTACCACCGCATGGTGGAGGCCTATCGTTTCGCTTACGCAAAGAGAACCATGCTCGGAGATCGGAAGTTTCTCAACATCACAGGTGTAAGGTTATAGATTATACAATTATTAAAGGAGTTTTTGACATCACTTCTATAATGAAACAAATCAAACAAATAAAAAAAAACCCAATTGAAATTAATCCAAATTTGATGTTAGTCCTCCATGAGAGTCATTGTTCGACACTGTTTGAAAAGAGAAAAACAAAATTACCCCGCATATTCTGATTAGGCTAGAATCTTTGAAACCTGAGGACAGAATAATAGGAAACCTTTTTAGGTTTTGCATGTGTATAATTATAATATTTCTCCCCCAAAGCTCATCCAGAATATGACTTCACATTTGTATGCCAATGCCCTCCGTGAAAAGATTACCGATGAAACCACACATCACATGAACTACTACGAGCCAGAGTTTTATCTGCCTGAAAACTACGGGACCTCGCACCTCTCGGTAGTAGCTGAAGATGGAAGTGCTGTGGCTGCCACCAGCACTATCAACCTATAGTACGACTTCCTAACTGACACTTCATGAAGTTAATCACTCATGTGTGTACAACTTATGTGATTTCTTACTGGTTATTGGGTTTGTTTTTTGCAGTTTGGGCTCCAAAGTTATGTCAGCATCAACAGGGATCATTCTCAACAATGAGATGGACGACTTCAGCTCGCCTGATATCACAAACAGCTTCGGTGTGCCTCCTTCACCGAACAACTTCATCAGGCCAGGTAAGGTTATGGCCACCACGCTCGTACAGACTGAGAACACACATAAGAGGGCCTTAAAACCAGCGACTCTGCAAGACAGATGAGCTTTTTAATGACAGAGTGATTAAAAGTCATGCAGATGTCAGCCTGGTTATTGACGGTTACTGAATAATATGCACATGAATCTGCTCTGACTCAGACATTCAGAAAGTAATTATTATCAACATATCATTTTAAAAAGGGAAACGGCCAATGTCTTCAATGTGTCCAACAATCCTTTTTGACAAAAGCAACAAAGTGAAGATGGTGGTCGGAGGTTCAGGAGGAACAAAAATCACCACCTCTGTTGCTCAGGTAAAATGCGTACCGATACCTATGTAAAACACTCATTTCTACTCGTTAAATGTAGAAACTAATTAATAACTTGGTTTCTATTTAATACTTATTAGGTGATTCTAAACACCCTGTTCTTCAACTATGATCTGAAAGAAGCTGTGTTAGATCCAAGGGTCCACAACCAGCTGAGTCCTAACATCACTGTAGCGGAGCCTGGCTTTGACAAAGTGAGTGTCACAAGCAGTAAACAACAACTGGGCGGTGGTGTGGTGTGCAGGGAAACTATGTTTTATTCACAACCCTAAGAAACACTGTATAAACCAAAGTCATGACTAGAACTGGGAACACTGTTTCATCTTTAGCTTCATGGGTAAAAACAGCGTAACAATAAGGGAGGAAATGGTTGTACTAGGGTTATGCTAATGGTCTAATTTGTGGCATTTCACCTCTGTTCACAAAATTGAACAAGACATCAGACCAGGACTCTCTGAGTGTTCATAACATGTGTGTTAATTCATGGTGAGAAGTTTAGAGGCTAGGCTGGAGCAGAATAGAACAATTATAAAAGGCTGGAACAAAGCTGATATTTACTGAGTTTATAATCTGGGGATATGGTGGAGCTGAAAACTGGACTGCAAGCAGAAACAATTACAGATGATTTCATGATTCTAGAGCCATACTTCTGTAATCAGATTACACAGAGAGGAGAAGAAGGGAGAGAGGAAGAGAAAACTGAAAACAAGAACAGTTTTAGGTGATATATTTGTACATCACAAATACAATGCTTGACAAATTATTTTTTTTCTGGTGTAAATTTACTACCACAGCTACTCTGAATTAGCAGTATTGGTAATTACAAAATTTCTCTGTTTCTGTTACAGTTAATCCACCAATCATAACGATATCTTAATGCAAAAATATAAGTATTGCTGTTCTGAATTTTCTAATTCAGTTTGACTAAAAAGCAAAAAAAACCCAAATGTAGCACACTTTTTTTTTTATTGGCACCAGTTTACAATTATGAATTTCCATACCTGAAAAGAAAAAAATGTTTCAGTAATTGAGTTTTATGCTTGGTTCATTTCAAACTTCCACCCCCTTTAAATTCTGCATCTGTTTTTTTCTAACAGCAGACACTGACTTCCTGGTCCAAAGATCGTTCATGCTTTATATTCTTATTCTTACATAGTTAACTTGGTTGCACCATTACATGTGGGGTGATTGCTGACCAGCACTCCAGTTCTCTTATTAAAGTACAGTTTACAAGTACTGTGTAATGCAAAAAGTACTAAAATAATCCTCTCTACTCTCATGCAAAAACAGCAGTGTTAATGGACAAACACTGAACAGACAAACCCTCCCCACATGTTTACATGGCACGCCTAGTCAGTCATGTTTTTGTGCTTAGAGTCTGTCTTCACTCATGCTTTGGTTTCCAGGATGTCCTGGATGGTTTGGCAAGGAAGAACCATGAGACAGAACTCCTCACATCGACGGGAGCCGTGGTGCAGGCAGTACTGTGTCATGATGACAAGGTGTATGCTCAGTCCGATCCACGCAAGGGGGGGTATGCAGCAGGATACTGAAGTTATAAACACACCTATGATTATGGAGAGATACTGTAGTTTTGTGAACCTTGACACCGGTGGGACAACCTCAAAGATTAGAAAGTTGATAAAGATTCAGCCAACATGGGCGTTTGTCTTGGGCACCAGTTGTTTTGTACTGATTGTACAAAACAGCTGGTGCCAGCTGTACAAGCCTTTAACCATTACAAGCTATACTTTAACACTGAGTGCCTTGGCTGAACCTTCTTAACTTCACATCATTCTAATGATCACATCAATCTAGTGAATAAAATCTTTTAAAAAAGATATATTTTGGTATAACAGTAAAAACAAACAAAACTGTTCAGACACTGAGCGCCTATGATTCAATCTATTTGTGAAGCACAGATTAGTAGATGTGTAAAGCAGTTTCCTGCTATTGTTTTGACACATGGCATCCACAAAACTGAGATCTGCTACTGTCATAAGAAACTGCAACACCTCGGGATCAAACACTGCACATAACAACATCCAGGAATCCCAAGTTCATCGGCTTTTAATGACCTCATAAAAACATTACAGCTGTTGCCGTCCATCTTCACCTTTCATTCAGCTAGAGTTACATAATAAGTTAAATACATAACAGTGTTAGATTAGATATATAGAAATAAATAGATTTGCTATGAGTGACTGAGTCATATGTAATAGAACCAATGTTTCAAAACAAAGCTGGGACTTGTTCTCTGGATCTACCATATATTTATTGAAAAATAAATAAATTGCAACTTTTGAAGCGCAGAGCTGTGTAGTTTGGCTATTTCCATCTTGTTCTCTCTTTTAATTTTTTTTATATCACTACTTGGATCATTAACTATGTTTACAACGTTAAACCATGACTCCATCTTGGTGTTTTGACACCAGATCTAATAAGTGAAGGATGGAACTGACAAAGACTGTGCACTCTTGTCACTCAACAACTCGTTGCACAACATTCAGCCCAGTAGCTTACCCTGTTATATAGTTTATCAGACTAGAGCTGGGACCATAATTTACCAAATGAACATAATCCTGTATTGAATTTAAGTTGTGAATCTAGCGACTGACACCATCAAGTGTTTTCTGAGGTCATAAATCAAGTGCAGGGCCAGGTCAAGGTGTTATGGGGCCCTAAGCAGAATTTTATTAGGTGCCTGAACACATCACCTACCCCCCACATGGCACCATTAATTATTAACCAGTCTCCTCATTTAATTGTTAATTGTGCATCTAAGACAACCATTACCATGGTGTACTACCGTGCAGGAAAGCAGTAAAACAAACCAGCAGACAAAAGTTACACAAATAAAGTTAACAATTTTTATTGACTTTGTACAAAAGGGCAAAACAATTACAATTTAACATAAGCCTAAATATTTTTTATGACATAAAAATCAAGGGCAAAAAACAACCAAGTTTAATACAAACGTATGTAGGAAAACTTAATGTGATGTGTTCAAAATTAGACAATGCAAGCCACAAACAAAATGAGACAACCTGTCAATACAGGATAGCCCATTAATATGTGACTAGCACTTCCTTAGTTCAGACAGCCATGGCAACGTTTCAGCCTAATCAGTAACAAGTCATATTTACAGTTTAACTTGTGTAGCAAGAGTCTAACTCTGACCATCTCAGACTAAATCTAAAACATAATTCATTAGTCAAATCAATGAGATTAACGGGAAACAATCCCGGCAGCTACAATATTTATCATATTAAAGTTGAATCTCCCACTTTCAAAAGGGATAAACAATATAGTCCAAGGCCAGGGATAGCTATGCCACAAATCAGCTACACCCCACAGGCTGATAACCTCAACAGGGATCAGCTGCTGTTCTCCCATCCTGTACAGAGTAGTCCAGCAACCACTCCAGGCTCAGCAAGACAATTTTCTGCATGCGAGTGCAATCAAATACACCTGTCATCAATGAACCCAACCCAATTGCAGCCATTGTGAAACACAAAACCACTCCCAAATTAGTGCCCATTTCCTTGCATCAAATATTGAGGTGCCTCGATAGTGCGAGTACCATTCATATAACGATGAATGTTATTCAGCAACATCAGACGTGATGACCAGATCTGTTTGTAAGACTGTGAACAGACTAGTGAGCTAAAGATAAAGTTTCCAGCCATGATTTCTGTGGTTTCCACACAACGTAAACTAACCTCGTCATGCACTGAGTGAAATGAAGGCCACTTTCATGCCTCTGTTTAACTAACATCACGGTCAGTGAGTGTTTATGATACCAGACTGTAATTACTCATGGAAACATCCTTTTTCTGCTACTTTTTTCCTTCCTCTGTTTTTCTCTTTTTCACTTTTCACCCCCAGAGGAATAAATCACTTTGTCATGATCTACTTACAGACAGTTACAGTAAACAAGACCCCAGCTGTGACACTGGCAGTGGAAATCTTTGCTTTTCTCTTCTTCCCAGAATTTCATCTCTGCTTATTGCAGATGATGTAGTTCAGCAGTTCACACGCACTGGAGCAGTTTGCGGCCAAGAGTGAACGAGAATTAGCACCTCCAAGTCTGATGCCATGGTCCTCAGCCAGGGAAGGGTGGAGTGCTCACTCTGGGTCAGTGATGAGATGCTGCCACAAGTGAGGGGAGGGGGGAGCAAGTGATTGACAGACGGACTGGGGCGGCATCTGCAGTGATGCACGCACTGTACTGGTCCATCGTGGTAAAAAGAGAGAGGAGCATGTCGATTTACGTCCCTACCTTATAGTCACGAGCTCTGGACAGTGACTGAAAGAACGAGACTGCAGATAGAAGTGGTGTAAATGAGCTTTCTCTGAAGTGTGGCTGACATCTTTCTTAGTGATAGGCTGAAGAGTTTAGACATTTGAAAGGGGCTCAGAGTAGAGCTGCTGCGCCTCTGTGTCGACAGGGTAAATGATTAGTAATGGCAAATGACACCTTTGTACTCCAACTGACCACTTTACATGACTTGCCGACTCATACAAGCACTTCTTTCTATGCTTTATCTACATAAGTGCTTTCTATCTAACATTCAAACACACTCATATGCTGATGGATCCATCAGAGAGGAACTTGGGGCTAGCATCTTGCCCAAGGACATTCTGAGGTACTGTCTGAGTTGCGGCACCTATCCTTCAGGAGAATACTGCAAGTGCTACCTGTAGTGTATTGGTGAGCATACATGGATGCGAGTGTGCCATGACGTTAGCGGCAGCACACAACGTGACCAACGTGGCAGGTATACTGATGTCTTTAGGATGACTTATGAGGACACTGAACAAGTTCAAAGGGCCTATACTCCTGTAAGGAAACACATAGCTTCAAACATTTAAAAGACAAATTCATCTCTATCCTCTCTTCTCACAAAGGGACCAAAACTTGCCAACTTGTATAAGTGAAAACTGCTTTTGGAGCCAGCCTCAAGAGGCCGTTTGAAGTCCTTGCCTGTTACTGTAACTTGCTTATACTTGTTTCTCTGCATGCAAACATATTGACTACTACTAGCTTACAGCTTCAGTACAGCGGAGGTGAGGTCTTTAACTTTCATTAAACTACAATGGGCACACAAAGCAGGCTAATATCCCCATTCTGACAGTTACAGTTACATCAGAAAAAATGTTTGGCCGCTGAAATATTCCCGCTCCTGGAACAAACCTCGGACGCAGTGCTATTTTTCACAACGTTGCTCAAGGCTGGATAAAAGCCAGTGGTTTTATTTTACATAAATAAAGCCAAATGTCTCCTGCAGGGGGAAATAGGGGGAGAACTACCTGCCGAGAGGTATGATTTAATGTCTGTGTGCGCGTAGTTATTAAAGTGAGACTCATTCGCATTGCAAAATCCATGTTGATGCTCGAATTCTTTGATGTAAGCCTCAGAGAGAAGATCATTTTTCACAAAGATATCTTCCTACACATACAGGCTCTTACTGAACCTGACCTAATTTATGTTTTTTTTTTTTTGTTTTTACATATTTTAAAAGAAAAGAAGAAAAGAACAAAAATAGAAGAACTATAAAAAATGTGTAGATGACTGTACTGTGGCGAGTAAGACAGTGCTACGGTTTTTTGTTTCGTTTTTTCCACTCCAGATATTCCACGTACATTTTATGTTTTACCTGAACAGTTGGTCTTGATTGTTATATAATGTTATGATGTAATGACCTCTCTCCTGAGATTTGAGATATGTATTTTTGACTTTTATCGCTCTCTGTTATCTGGTGTTTGGGCACTCTCTCACCTGTGAACCATTACCATACATTGGCGGTTTTGCCAGTAGTGGCAGGAGCAGGTGTAGAGTTACAGTAATTGGGGGGAAAGTGCAATCCCACCATGTGTGCCAATATTACATTTAACATACCACAATTTTATTTGAATTCACAATTATTTTATTTTTATTATCCTGAGCTGCTACCTCCTGTGCTTACAGCTGCTCTGAGAAGAAGCTGCAAAAAATTAAAAATAAATAAAAAATCTAAAAATTTTCCTTCAGGGCCCAATTAAGCAAAGTCTCACTTCCACATATGATTAAATTCAAAGTTATGCAACTCAGACCAATTGACTAACCCTCTAGGCTAGGAAAGAAAAAAATCCCAATTCTCTGTGTATATCAGAGTCTACGTGTAGTTTTAATTTGACTCATTGCCTCGAATGGCATTGTGACAAATGCATATAATGACACAGAAACTGACATAATAAAAGCATCAAACTACTGGTAAGATAATTTGCCTCATCAAAGGACTTTGTGAGCGAAAGTGTGCTGAATCATCACAGGATTATTTAACCGCTCCGCTCTGAGAGAGAAAGACTGTTTCTGCACCCTTTAAAGTGATGGCTCACTTTAAGTGGTTGTTATTTATACAAAGAGGGCAAGATCGTGAAGTTGCAACTTATCCAGATTAACTCATTTGTCATACAACAAAAGACAGTGGTGCTTCACACGGAGTAAAATTTGCATGTTCTCATAACTCTCATCTAGAGCCTCAAAGGAGAACGGAGCAGAATCCACTTA